TGAGATACAGTTATTATCAGCGTTCTGATGGCATTTTAGCCAGAAATCGTAATTATTTTGCACAAATAAGGAATAGTTGCATTAACCATTCAGGTAAAAACGGTTTCATGGGACCCCCAGGAATTTAGGGCCCAAGGCGACTGCCTAGTATTGCCTAATGGTAACCCCCCCCCCCCACTGCCAACAGGGAGCGGAAAGAAGTGATCATCTGTCTGAACGGTGAGTTAACGGAGTTCACTATAAAGTTCACTACATAGTCCCCACGCTATATAGTGATGGAGGATGTAGGGGTTATTGTGGACGTTCAGACACAGCCACTATCTTTGCTTCAAGCCCAATAGGCTCACTCTTATTCAAGAACATTTTTCCTGAAAGCCAAACCAAGAGGTGAAACAAATTGTAAAAAAAAAATTCATTTAGAAAACTTATCATTTCTGAAAGGCAATTTTTTCAAATTTCAATTTACAAAACACGTTCTTTGCTTGCAATAATAATGGAGCATAATTCACTCTATAGATTTATGGCTCTGGAGCAACCTGAGGTATAATGGGAGTGTGGTGGGGAAAGAACTATGGGATGTTGGGTGTCACACTCACCTCCTTTATGAGAAGCTTGAACAGAGACGGTACTCTCACAGCGATCTCATTCTCCCCAAAAAACAACCTCCTAAATGGAATTTAAAAGCCTTTTTTTTTTACTTGTCTTAAAAATAATTGCATGAACAGATATTCTCAGGATCAAAAAAGAAAAAAAACCTAAAATGCAAAGTGGTACCTGTAATCCTGCAGTGTTTTGGTTAGACCACAGCTGTGTTCAGAGTGGATGTGGGCACAGCTCACCTTCACATCCTCCAGGCCTCTAGAGAAGGAGACAGTTTAATCTTCTAACCATTTAGGCACATGTTTAATCACAAGGGTTAAAGGCAAAATACAGTCCCCAGTTCTAAACAATAGGCCTTAATTTGCAGGATACACACTATTTACATCCGCTGCTTAAAACTGTTGGAATGAGGACTCAGAGAATGAGCTAGCCTGAACCAAACTCTGGGTTTAAAGGCATACTATGCAACATTTTTCAG